TTTTCTCCGCTCTGCTCCTGCGTAGATACAGGTACCTTAGCCAATCAAAGTTCCTTTTCAAACAGACAAGATAAGTTTCTTGCTTATTCCAAAGTAGCAGTTTCACTTCCCTGCCAGTCCGTGGAAATATTCAGACAAGCCAATCACATCCTTCTTCAGGAACCAGGAAACAGCTCACCCTCTTGATGCTACAGTGCTGGCCTTTTTCAGCCTCTGTTTGTTCACCCTGTTTCTGAGTACAACCTCCATGTGGCATTGCTTGGCATGTGATCCCCTCCCACAGGCTGTAAGTATCTGTGACTAGTAAACTGCTGTCAAACTCATCTGTCCAAGTTGGCTATTATGTGTTCAGCCATTCCCATAACCCTAGGGCAGGAATCTTCCTTCACCAATGGGGTAAATAGGAGGTATTTGATATGGTTTTGCTGTGACTCCACCAAAATCTTGAATTGTAGTTCCCATAATTCCCATGTGTCATGGGAGGAACCCAGTGAAAGGTAATTGAATCATGGGGGCAGGCCTTTGCCATGCTGTTCTCATGATAGTGAATAAGCGTCACAAGCTCTGATGGTTTTATAAAGAGCAGCTTCCCTACACATGCTCTCATGTAAAAGGTGACTTTGCTCCTCCTTTGCCTTCAGCCATGATTGTGAGGCCTCCTCAGCCATGTGGAACTGTAAGTCCATTAAACCTTTTTTCCTTTATCAATTGGCCAGTCTCAGGTATGTCTTTATTAGCAGCCTGAGAACAAATGAATACGGTGTTTAAAACACAAAACTAGTTCTTGAAGAATGTAGGAATTAGCCAGAACTAAATAGTAGGAAGGGATTTAAAGTGAAAGCACATAAAAAACAAAAGAATGGAGGCAGGTAGACATGACTATGGCGTATCTGGGGAACAAGCCTGTTCTGGCTAGAGGAGAAAGCATTTTTCAGAGATAATACATTTAAATAGAGATCATGAGCTATATCAATCATTCAAAGGAACTTGATTCAATATGGTTTAAAGTAATGAGCTTTTGCAAAAGGAAGTGTTCTGATGGAAATGATATTTGAGGAAGATTAGAATTGAGAAAGTCATAAATCTTAGGGTTAAAGTTACAGTCCAGTGTACCTTGCAGTGCTTGTATCTACTGTCCCAGATTTCTACCAAGGGATCACCAGTATCATCTAAAATCGGATATGTACCCTGACTGCCTCTTGAGACATCCCATACCACCTTTGGTTACCTGTGATGGTTAATACTGTCAACTTGATTGGATTGAAGCATGCAAAGTATTGTTCCTGGGTGTGTCTGTGAGTGTGTTGCCAAAGGAGATTAACATTACAGTCAGTGGACTGGGAAAGGCGGACCCACCCTTAATATGTGTGGGCACAATCTAATCAGCTACTGTCTCAGCCAGAATAAAAGCAGGCAGGAAAACATGAAAAGACTAGGCTGGCTTAGCCTCCAAGCCTACATCGTTCTCCTTTTCTGGATGCTTCCTGCCCTTGAACATCAGTCTCCAAGTTCTTCAGCTTTGGGATCGGCTTTCTTGCTCCTCAGTTTGCAGGCAGCCTACTGTGGGACCCTACTTTGTGTTAGTGTGAGTTAGTAGTCCTTAATAAACTCCCCTTTGTGTGTGTGTGTATATATATATATATATATATATATATATATATATGTATATACACACATCTATACTGTTAATTCTGTCCCTCTAGAGAACCCTGACTAATTCAGTACCTCTAACTTATAGAACATTTTAACTTGAAATTAATGTTTGTACATGTTAATCCTGTCATAACAATTGAAGCCCAGAGATGCATGTTTAAGTGTTTTCCTTCCCATGGGGTATTTTTAAAATAAATTGTTTCTGTACTGCAACTGAGACTGAAATTGGCCAACTAGATTGCCCAGTATCATTGAGAAGTAAGCTGCAAAGCAGATTTCAAACTCAGTTTCTCAAATTAGAGTCTTTCCACAACACTACTGCTGTCATCAACAAAAAACAGAGAAGTTAAAATGTGTATCTATGTATTATTTTACCTTTTGCAATTGAGAAATCATGATCTAACTATAGGATGAGAAGTTTTAAAGAAAGTGATTATACATAGTGGCTGTTTGTGAGTGTGTGTGTGTGTGTGTATTTGGTTTCTTTCACTTAGTGTTGAGATATATATATATATATATATAATTGCATTTTAGGTTGTGGGGTACATGTGAAGAACATGCAGGATTGTTGCATAGTTACATACATGGCAATGTGGTTTGCTGTCTTCCTCCCCATCACCTATATCTGACATTTCTCCCCATGCTATCCGTCCACAACTCCCCACACCCTCTGCTATCCCCCCCAATTCCCCCGATAGACCCCAGTGTGTGATGTTCCCCTCCCTGTGTCCATGTGTTCTCATTGTTCAATACCCACCTATGACTGAGAACATGCGGTGTTTGATTTTCTGCTCCTGTGTCAGTTTGCTGAGAATGATGGTTTCCAGTTTCACCCATGTCCCTACAAAGGACACGAACTCTTCATTTTTTATGTCTGTGTATTATTCCATAGTGTATATGTGCCACATTTTCCCTGTCCAGTCTATCATCGATGGGCATTTGGGTTGGTTCCAAGTTTTTGCTATTGTTAACAGTGCTGCGATGAACATACATGTTTATGTGTCCTTATAATAAAATGATTTATAATCCTTTGGATATATACCCAGTAATGGGATTGCTGGGTCTCTTTTACATACACATGCTCATATCATTTTCTTGTCTTTAGAGTTGTTAGATTTTTAATATCTTGGACATATATAAAATAATAAAATTAAATAGCTGCTTTTTAAATGCAATTAAAGAAAGTTTCTTTTTTTTTTTTTTTTTTTTCTGGAGACGGAGTTTCGCTCTTGTTACCCAGGCTGGAGTGCAATGGCGCGATCTCGGCTCACCGCAACCTCCGTCTCCTGGGTTCAAGCAATTCTCCTGCCTCAGCCTCCTGAGTAGCTGGGACTACAGGCACGCGCCACCATGCCCAGCTAATTTTTTGTATTTTTAGTAGAGACGGGGTTTCACCATGTTGACCAGGATGGTCTCGATCTCTTGACCTCATGATCCACCCGCCTCGGCCTCCCAAAGTGCTGGGATTACAGGCTTGAGCCACTGCGCCCGGCCAAGAAAGTTTCTTTTCTTTTTCTTTTGAAATTACTATTACAGAAAGTCCTCTGAAAAGATGGGTGTTCTTAAACAAAGGGAATTTACTGGAAGCAATGACTCCATAAAGCACCCTGGTATTAGTTAAGTGCTCACATGGACTATATGCATTCAAAGTTTTCAAATATTTTTGATTCCTGAACTGTAGAAACTGATGTTTTATAATTGTTTTCTAAAAGTGAGCAGTATAATTATATGACAATACAGGTAAAAATCCGGAGCTGTAGCTATGGCACATGAGACTTGGTGGTGGTGGTATATTTTGTGAGATTTTTTTGTTAGTGTTATTTTGGTGTGAATAAACATAGACATTGTCATAAATCAGCCACCCCGACATATGAAAAGGCATATACCGTTTTTGTTTTCATTTGAAAAATTGCTTTATAGGTTGAGGTGTCAAAAACATTTTGGTACGTATTCAAGTGTAATTTATCTGTTTTCTTTCTGTCTATACTAGAATCATAAAGTTGAATATCACATTAAAGTCTGCATTAGTTATTCAGGTGATATGATTTCTTTTTTATACAGAAATGCCCTAGAGCATTAAATCTTTTCTGTATTCATTCTGGCAACTAGAAAAAGAACTTTGTAGTGGTTGCTTGAAAATGAAAACTGCTGGGAATGGAGGGAGAGGAGATGTGTGCACTTCTTTGTCCTTAGTCTCAGCTTGTGGGGCACACAATTCTACCATGAAGAATGAGTTCTGTGGGATTTTTATGCCTTTATTATAGAAAATAAAAGTTTGAACTTGGGGATATTTCCCCTTTTTTTATGACATTGTAATGTTCTGAACAGATAAATTCCAAACTATAAGAAGCAATCTAAAACCTTTGAAACATAAAGACTGAAAGTAACAATAAGTTACAAACAAAAGGAGCTTTGTAAACTCGGCAGTAGGAAGTCAGTTCATCACATTACCTTTCATATTTCTCTTCAAAGCAGGCAAACCTTCCCAGTCTGAGTATGTTGTTAATAAAATATAGCACCAATTCCCCTGACAATTTATTGAACTATGCTTGCCTTCTGTTATTACCAAAAGACTTTTCAAGAAACCTGAAACTCAGGTGCAGCGTGCCCATAGTGGAGGGGGTACAAGTCGGGGAGTTGACATAAAGGGAAATATGTGGGAACTAAATGAAAGCTCTGAACAAGGACATAAAGAATTTCACATAAGTTAATATTGCTCACATGTGCAAATCATAGGTCTAATAGGACATGCTAGGCTATAGGACATTCTAGGCTAGCTGCTCAGTCCAACCTAGTGTACCATTCTTATGATTGTTGGCAAAAATGGTATTAAGGGAGGTTTCAGATTTACCTCTGGAGACAGGAGAAGCAATGGGTTACAGCATAAAGAGATCTAGAGGGAAGGGATGCATGGTGTCACGGCATTGAATAGTAGGTTTTAACTAACAATTATCAATAGCTTTAGAAATGACTAGAAAGTATCTTTGACAATGCATCTGCATTCAAACAATGCATAAGATCATGATGAAGATAAGACTTATCACAGTGGTTTAACTGGAGATGAATACCAGCAGTGCAGCTAAAGCAGGAAAGGAGACGAGAGACAGCATCTACAGGTGACAGATTATTCACCTAATTTTTTAGGAATAGAAAGCATACATGTTTGAATTCCAAAATTTAACATAATGAGATTTACATTTAAAGTGTCACAGTAGTTTAGAGTATAAGGCTGCAAGAATAGGAGGGAGACAAGTGAGAAGGCGACTCCAATATTCATTTGAAGAATGTGGTGGCATGCATTAGAGGTGTTGCGGTGGATGAAGTCAAGTAACAGATTTAGGATAAATTTGAAGGTGTACTGAACATGATTGTCTGATGGATGGACATGTGACATGAGAAAATGGAGAGGCCAATATAATTTCAACTTTTTATCTATGCAGCTGGGTGAGTAAATAGAGTCATCTTATAAAAAGTTGGCGATCAATAAGAGGATATGAGTTAGGAGGAAGAAAACTAAAACATTTTGTTTTAGATATGTAAAATTGAGATGAGAATTGGAAATCCAAGAGAAGATGTAAGGAGGTTGAAATATGAATATAACATTATTCAATAGGTAGAAACTAGAAAGCGAAATCTGGTTTTATCAGTAGAAAGATATTTAGAATAATAAGGCTGTATGATGGCAGCTAGAGAGTGAGTATAGACAGAGACAGCAGGAGAGAGAGAGAGACAAACAGGGAGAGAGAGTGGGAGAGAGAGCGAGAGAGTGTATGTGTTTCAGGGGGTGGTTTCCTGACTAAGCCCTTAACGTAGAAACATTTATGGTGAAGACCTTACCTGTGAGTCAAAATCCTGCCATAAAAATCTCTGCCACAACCATGAACATTGTTACATTTCCCTAGCACCAGTCTGATAATCCTACTGCTCCTACCTCCTAACTTTCAGTGGTATATTTTGTTTTCTTAACTAAAGCAAATTTTACTCAACTGACAGTCCAAGGATTTTTTTTTTTTCTGAAACAAACAAAAACCAAATGCAAAACCAAAATGAACAGCCAGTTCTTGCTCAGGCAAAGCTTCATAAATAAACGTAGAGTATTTGTGTGTGTGCAGACTTGGTAGACTAGTGATGTGACCTTTCTAAGACATATCCATGTCTTAGAAACCATGTCACCCACAGGAATTTCAGTAACATCCAGGGCCCTGTGATTGACTTCAGAAACAATAAGCGGCTTAATATTATTTCCTTACTACCCACTCTACATGAGAAGATTGGGGACAATGGGAAAAGAGAAAGCGATGTATCTTCCAATACCTTGATTGTACAGAAATGATGCATTTCATATGAGTGGTTGATAGAGTTACTCTCTTTTCAGCCTCTGAATAGCTTTGCCTGTGTGTCCCATATTGAGAAGCCTTCTGTGAGCAATGTCAGTGATACCTGCCCAGCGTGCTGTGCTGTAGCTGTTTGGCCTACAAAATCTGCTCCCCAGAGTAAGTGCTATAGACATCTGATCATGAAATATAAGAATACCTGGCTTCAAGAATTTCACCACTTTCCTATTGTGAAGTGTATTTTGTGGTTCTGCATTTCTGTATTCTAGGGACTGGAACACCTAGGAAATTGTTCTGGTTTTCTATTCCTATATCACAAAATGCCACAAAACCTAGCTACTTAAATAACCACCATTTTTTTAAATTCAGCACAACTGAGGTTCAGGAATTTGGGAAGGCTTTTCTAGGTGGTGCTTTTCTCCACATGGCATAAACAGGTGTCATGGGGCAAGTGTGAACAGTACAGGTCACAGATTGAGAGACACTGAACCAAGAGCGAGAACTGAGTTTAATGATGGGGATTCTATACGTTAAGTTGATGTTATAAAGAGATGAGACTTCTGAGAACCTTGAGAGGCGTTACTTCCCATTTGGGAGGGAAATATAAAAATCATTAGCGGCCAGAGGGTGAATTTCGGTAGTCATTTAATATCACTTCCAATGATCCCTACCTCCTGATATTTCTGCCTCTTCTCTAATAAACAGAATGCAGCACCAGTTGGGAATGTCATTTTCCATGATTAGGTTTTAAAAGACTTCTGTCTTGCTAGTAAGCTCTCTGTATTTCTTTCTTAGCGTGTGTGTTTTGATAAAGAAATCTGCCTTGCTGGAGAAGCCCAAGTGGCAATAAACCAAGGGCAGCCTGTGGCCAATAGCCAGCAAGCAATTGAGGCTTTCAGTTCAATGACCCGTGAAGAATGGAACCCTGCCATTAACCACGTGATATTGGAAGCAAATCTTTACCCAGTTGAGATTTGAGATGGCCAAAACCCGGCCAACAACTTGTTTGCAGCCTGTGAGAGACCCTGGAGAAGAGATTCAAGATAAATTTGTCAGATTCTTGATGAAGAGAAATTATGAATAACAAATGTGTTTTTTTAAGTTGTTAAGGTTTGAGATAATTTTATATGCAGCTAAAGACAACTCATGCAGAGCCATTACTCTCTTCCATTTTTCTTCTCTCTGACTAGTGGTTTAATTTGTATTGTAGCTTGGCTTCTTCATAAGATGGAGGTCACTGTCTATATCTTATAGCTTTTGGCATCAGAGAAAGACAGACATTCTTTCTCTAACTGACTGGAATGAACATTTATATCGGTAAATCAAGTCATATCATTGACCTTAAAATCCTCACATTCAATGGCTTCGCATTATACTTAGAATAAAATACAAACTTTTCACAGGTAAAGACTTCATGGGAGCTATTGCTTCTTTCAACCCCCTCTACTGTATCTAGCGTACTACCCTCCCCCACTCTCTCCTGACCACATTCTGTTCACTCTTGTCTTATTATTACAATTTTTTTTTGAACATGCACACTCAGCTATGTTCAGCTCCACTGGGTTATTTTAACTTCTACATCTTAGCTTCAGTTGTTCTTCTCACTGGTTTTTGCTTTCATGGATCTTTTCCTTCTTCTAGTCTCGACAGAAACATTGCTTCCTTAAAGAGCCCTTCCCACATTCAGGCTAAAGAAGAACCAAGTTCTGTGGCAACCTGTGTACATTTGTCTGATTAAAATTTCCTCATAAAATTTAATTGCTATGTCGCATCATCTTAGTTGCACACAAAACTAACAAAGCTACTAATAGCCCTCTCCCATTAAACTATAAATTGCATGAGACACAGACCTAATCTTCTATATTTCATTGCTATAAATTCAGGATTTGTCAAATAAATAATGAGTTAGCCATTAATTAATTATAAGTGATATATAACCAATGTTATACAATGTTATACTTACAATAAAGGGGATTATTTCTTTATTTGCACACAAGGCTTTTAGAGAAACCAATATAAGATTGGTGGTGGCAGGCCGGGCGCGGTGGCTCAAGCCTGTAATCCCAGTACTTTGGGAGGCCGAGGCGGGTGGATCACGAGGTCAAGAGATCGAGACCATCCTGGTCAACATGGTGAAACTCCGTCTCTACTAAAAATACAAAAATTCAGCTGGGCATGGTGGTGTGTGCCTGTAATCCCAGCTACTCGGGAGGCTGAGGCAGGAGAATTGCCTGAACCCAGGAGGCAGAGGTTGCGGTGAGCCAAGATCGTGCCAGTGCACTCCAGCCTGGGTAACAAGAGTGAAACTCCGTCTCAAAAAAAAAAAAAAAAAAGATTGGTGGTGGCTTGTAATAGAGATTTGTTAAAGACAATTGATGGAGAGAAACTTTTTCTGAAATACAACTTTCATGGAGCTCATAGGAATTGCATTTGTGTTGGATACAGTTTCTTTTGAACAATGCTAAGGGCATACCAACCGAATGTCATTTTGCAATGTATGTCCAAGGAAGAAGATCATAAGTTAACTTTTGGACCGTGAACATCAAAGGGCCTTGGAGACATCTACATGTATATAACAAATGAACATTAGATATTAGATTTCTTCGTGCAATGTAACATGTTTTTATGTTTTTGTTGGTGGTGGTGTTCTTGTTTTGAGGTGGAATCTGCCTCTGTCACTCAGGCTGGTGTGCAGTGGCACGATCTTGGCTCACTGCAACCTCCGCTTCCCAGGTTCAAGTAATTCTCTTGCCTCAGTCTCCCAAATAGCTGGGACTACAGGCACGCACCACCATGCCTAGCTAATTTTTTTTTTCCCATTTATTTATTTTATTGCATTTTAGGTTTTGGGGTACATGTGAAGAACATGCAAAATTGTTGCATAGGAACACACATGGCAGTGTGATTTGCTGCCTTCCTCCCCATCACCTACATCTGGCATTTCTCCCCTTGCTATCTCTCCCCAGCTTCCCACCCCCCACCCTCCCTCCCCTATTTCCCCCCAACTGACCCCAGTGTGTAGTGCTCCCCTCCCTGTGTCCATGTGTTTTTAGTAGAGACAGGGTTTCGCCATACTGGCCAGGATGGTCTCGATCTCTTGACCTTGTGGTCCACCTGCCTTGGCCTCCCAAAGTGCTGGGATTAGAAGCATGAGCCACCACACCAGACCGTGTCTGTGTTTTATGTAGAGAATAAAACTGAAACCATGGAATGGATTGCGTCTCCTAAAGAGACAGTATAGGGAAATCAAAAATAGATTAAGGTTAAACTTTAATACACTCCATTATGTAAAGGCCTGGGAATAGGATAGGCGTCAATAAAAAACACAGAAGAGAGGCCAGACATATTGGAGGCAAATCATAAACAAATGCTAAAGAAAATAATATTTCCATAAGAAGGTAACAGCTACATATATCCACAGTTAAGTTGTCAGATAAGGTCAGGATACAATTTGTCATTTATTTTAAAGTCATCAAGATCATTCAAAACCTAATGAAAGAAATTTCCGTGAAATGGTAGGCTAAAGCCAAACTGCAATGAGTTGAAGAGAGAACAGAAAAGTCAGAACTAAAATTGTAAACCTGAAAAAAAAATAGGAAAGCTGAGATCAATTTGATGATGATGACAATATTATTTACATTATCCATATGAGCATTTTGCATATCCTTTCCTGGAGAAGGAAAGTCTGGCTATTTTGTCTAATCTCCATATGGTGAAAGCAAATTCAGCCTTTGATGTATATTTTCATCTGAATTATTTTCTTTGGTTGCATTTATTGCCCTTTGTTTGCCAACATCTGTTTCCTCTTGTTTTATTCTTTAATAATAGGCCAAGAGTAACGGAAATCAATCAGTAGTTGACACTGAATTGAAATAAACCTGAAAGTAATATTCCAGATTCAGATTTTATAACATCTATTGTGTCCCTCTGAAGAAGTTACTCACCTGTTTAATAAGCTTGTTTTACAGACTCTCTAAGCATTCTTCAATTCCCCAAATTCCATGTGACTATTTTAAGGGCACAT